CCCCAAAACCCCAAAACCCCATGCTTGAGAATTTACTGTAATTAGGTTTATAACATAATAAATTCAATTTCTATTTGCATAAGTCGCTGGTGATTGCTATCCTTGAGTTTAAGTATTTTCTTTAGAATTTCCATTGAAAGCTCCTGATCTTATGCCTAATGTAGCATTCTATCTGAAATTGGTGGAGCCTAGTGATCCTTAATTGCCAATTTTACCTTGTTGAATAGTTGACTAGTTAGCTTCAACTGGTTAGACTTATTTTTACTAAGCTAAAGGATTAAGTAGAGCTCTAGATCCCGCTTGTGATGTAGATACTCTATTGAAAAGAGTATTCCCTTAAGGGTTGAGACTTTTGGGGTTTACATAATCATTCTAGTTCTAGTTTATGGAACCTATCCCATTCATCATATTTTGATCCTAATTCTGATTGTTGATTTATTTAACTGATTGATTTATTGTCCTTGCTCTATTCGATTGAGATGAGGCGAGATTATCCCTGCCTATGTTAACACTCACTTGCAAATCCTTAGAACTTTGGGGAGGTTTGAAAATTCCCTTAGGGTTGAATGAACTATAAAGTGGCATGAGATCTGCTCTGGTTGGCTAAGCATCAGCTAATTCATCAAACAATCTCTTCTTTTTTCTAGAGAATTAATTTTCAACAGTTGTCCATTTATAGTTGTGACTCTTCTTAATGCCTGGCCCCTCATTCTCTGCCATAATATTGTCTGTGTCTTTTGACTTGAAATGGAAAATCTTCGTTACTTTATCATGCACATCAGTCTTCTTAATTTACTTTACATGCTCAGTTTTAAAAGGATCTACAGGGCCAGCCTCTGGAACAACATCTTGTAGTAGCATTAAATCAGTTTTTGCCCATGTTTTATGAGTTTACTTGAGTATTTTCTATGAATAATGCCCAGGTTTATCATTGTAACCCTGCTTTAGTTTCCACCATTCTCTGACATTTGGATCATTAGTCTCTGAGTACTTTGGGAGTTCTTTACCATGCACTCCAATTGATACTTTTCCAAATGTCTTCATATTGTAATCAAGCATATCTTTTTTTCTTTCCTCAGCAAGTTATCTTTTAGTTTTCCCATCCACATCTTTATAATTAAGACGCAAAAAACAGTCTTCTCTTTCTTTTAGTCTGTGCATTCCATCCTTGTGCAACCCTTAAAGTGCCTCTGTTTTCTTGAATTCCTCGTAGTTTTCCTAATGTCTCTTCAGATTTAATTCACTCTTGCAAGAAATTGAAGGATTTTATATGTATTTTAGAGTTGGATCCTTGGATGAATCCTTTATATCAATGAATTTAGGTAATAGACCAACTGACACTCTTGATTCTAGTAATTTCCTGTCCTTCAAATCTTATATAGAAGTGTATGGGGGTTATTCTACATAGAATTCAGGCTAAGTTTTCTTTTGAGCAATATGCGATGGATTAGCCTCATCCCATAGTTTCTTTTATCTTTCATAGTCTGTAATGTTTGCAAGTTTTCTCTTTTATTTAACTTCACCCAGTGTTTTATTTTCTGGGTCCTTAGTCGTTAGTGGATGCACTGGATATGTTTCTCTTATGCTTTAAAAGTCCTCAGCATGCACTATCTATCCTCTTTTTTACATAATCCTATGCAGACTTGTTGGGCCACTTTGTTCGATACCCCAAACAAACTGATTCTCAAACCCTTCTCTTAGGGCTTTAATGGCATTATCCTTCTCAGCTGTGTTAAGGCGACCATCTTTGTCCTGGTCGAAGTATTTGGCGATCACCAGATCTCGACCACCTACGTATCCATCATTGTCCAAATCGTATGAGATATGCGGTATCAAATCCTGCTTCCTATCTTAAATAAGCTTAGTTCTGGTCTTTTTGTTGCTTTCCAATTCTAGCAATGAGTCCCCAGTCGGTTTACTCCACCACTGTGGGATTTCTAAATAACGCTCAGTTATTATTCGTTTTTAATCATTAGTTATTGAAGCATTAATTGATGATTATTTTAAGTTACTTACTTATAGGATCTTTCAGAATATTGCGTTCATCTTGACCAGGTTTTTTCTCAATTTTCTTGGGGAGACCATAGATGTCATACTTGGCAGTCTGATGAGTAAGTTTATCGAATTCTCCTGAAGACTAAAATTAATCATTAAATGAACAATTCTGTATTATCTAAATGTACCTATTGATTAAGACCAGTGTTTCTAAACTAGACTTGATGCGACTGAGCTCTAGAATTACTATTAGCTGATTAAATTTATCTAGATTCAATTGTTAAGTGGCTGATAAATACCTCGTTGCAGGCCTTGATTGTATAAGAAGTGCCATAGTTTTGCGATGAATTTTATTTATATTTATCGTATTATTTTTATAAAACTCTATCCTATGTCGTGGGGTTTTGGGGTTTTGGGGTTTTGGGGTTTTGGGG